CACTAAATTGCCCAGGCTCCATAACAATTTTTAAGAATACAGTTCAGTGGCATTAAATACATCCACGTTGTTGTATAACCATCACCACCATCCATCCCAGAGCACTTCATCTTGCAAAACTGAAACTTTGTACCCACTAAACAATTAACTCTCAGCCAGTGCGGTGGCTCCACCCTGTAATCCCAGCACATTGGGATGCTAAGGTGGGCAAATCACTTGAGTCAGGAGTTCGAGACCAGCGCTGCACACAGATGAAACCCTCTCTCTACTAAAAAACAAAAAAAATTAGCTGGCATGGTGGCATGTGCATGTAGCCCCAGGCTGAGGCAGAAGAATTGCCAGGAGGCAGCGGTTGCAGTGAGCTGAGATCATGCACTGCACTCCAGCCTGGGTGACAGAGGGAGACTCCATCTCAAAACAACAACAACAAAAAAAACAATTAACTCTCCAATCCCCCTCCATTTCCTGGCAACCACCATTCTACTTTCTGTCTCTATAAATCTGGCTACTGTAGGTACTTCCTATGATGGAATCATATAGTATTTGTCCTTCTGTGATGGTTTTTAGCATCATGTCCTCAAGGTGAAGGTAGAAACTTTTAAACCAGTTTTGTTTTTTATGTCAAAGGGGCTTCTTACCTACTCTAAGTAACACTACATAGTGGGCTATTCCATCCCACTTCAAGTCCTGAAAAACAAAATGTAAAAAATCTTCCTCTATCCTCCAATATGGACCTAGCTTCAGGGTTTTTGATGGTTTTTCATTTTCTTTTCATGTTTAGTTGGCTGTCAATTGGAAATTGTTATTTCCCCCAACTTTGGGGGAAAAAATGAAAACCCAGTTGAAGCACATTTTTTTCCAAATGTATTTGAAATGCTCTCTCTAGTTCTACGGTTCTGGATTGTGAGCATCCTGAAATTCTAGAACATACATGGCTCATAACAAAAGGGGTGAGAATACTGAACAGCTGAATTACAGCGTGGGAGAATAAAATTATTTCAAAAGTTACTTGCTAAAATTTTAGA